TTTGATAAATTACATAAATGGAAAAAGAAGATGAAAAGGAGGAAAAAGGGAACAGGAAAAGCTCATTATTTACTTAAATGATTTGTTGAAAAAAGATAAATTTGTTCATTTTTCTGTAAGATCACTTTTAGAAATAAAATAACTTTTTTTCTTGTTTTTTGATTTGTCTTTTTGTCGGTTACTTTATTCGTTTGTTCAATTTCAGTGCCCTTGTTTGGATTAATTTTTCTTTTTTTTTTCCCCCATCTGCTTCAGTTGAATAGTACTGATTTCACTAGAGTGTTCATGGAAAAATAAATTATGATAGAAACAAGATGCTTACAAAAAAAAAGGTAATTTTTTTGCTGACCGGGAAATCGCTTGCTTTATTCAGCTAACAAACAGTAACGGAAACTGAACCAGTTGTGAGTCTTTTGTGAACAGTGTCACTTCCCCGCTCCTCTATCCATGCAAATATTTTCATCAACATTCGTTGTTTTTCCCAAAAATAAATGTTAACTAAATTCAGCTAATTATGATTTAATAAGATCGCCGCTAAAGATCGACTAAGAAACAGTTTATTGTTAAGGTGGAAATAACGTAAAACAAACGACAATGCTACTGTCGTTTACAGCGGTAAACGTCTTATGACAGTTTCTTGGTCGGATATCATCCTGTTATCCTACTGTGCCTTTGAGAATTCTGTTAAAAAAAACCAAGGAAAGAAACAATTGAAGTATCATTGTCAACAGAGAACATGTTCTTTTTTTTTTGTTTATGTACGTCAAATTACCAGAAACTTATCTCTTTACTCTGCCCATCCAAAATTCATCTGGGGTGATCAGCTTTTTTAACTGGATCTTTTCCTCCTCCTGTTCTTCATCTCCGTCTTCGGCATCATTATCAGCATCATTTTCTTCTTTTTCTTTTTTTTTTCTTCTTCTTTTTCCTGTTCCTGTGCTCCTACTTTAACCTTAAATTTCCCTTTTGAACTTTTTTAAGTTTTTTAACTAATTTTGGTACTTTTCGTTCTTTTTCTTTTGTTCCTGCTGTCTTCATTATTTTTGATTTAGTTTGACAAAAATGTTACTGTCGGCAACGTCGATTTTTGGGAAAAAGACGCTCAAATATTTCTATTTACACAACTATGCTTGCAGTTATAACAGAAACTTTGGTTTTATTTACTTCCCATTAAACTATTAATCAAATTTATCGTCAGCATCTGACAATTTAACTTCATTTTTTTTTTTTTCTAATTTTAACTATTTATGGTTTACCACTGAAAGTCATTCTATACAGCATCAAAACAGGGTTCAATTTAAAAATGTTCAACGCTTTGTTGAATGCAACTTAACAGTTTTGTTGTGAAAATTTAGAAATCTTTGGTAAACAAGGAGTTAAAAAAAAAAAAGAAGAATTGAACAGAAAAAAAACCCGATAACAAAAAACTATATATTTTTCGGCAAATTATTGTCTATTTTACATATTACAGAA